CAGTTTGCCCATAGAAGGATTTGTCCTGTGTGCAGTTTGCCCACAGAAGGATTTGTCCTGTGTGCAGTACCCCAAGTTTTCCAGAAAATCGACATAACATGAATGTCCGGACTAGTAATACCTGTTCTTTCAATCAAAGTGTGCTTGCCCATCAAGGGTCTAGCAGTGAATTATCAGTAAAAGGCTATCCTTGTCACAGTGTATTGCGTTTGCCAAACAGGTGTATGCTTCATAATAGGGCTGACATCTTCCTGTGTATGAAGCAGTCCAGCTGGTGGGTAAGAGTGTGGTGGGCTTGCACTCCTACTGGTGAAACCCACTCAATGCATTGTAGTTCAAAGTAACCAATATTATTTCTAGCCCATTGCAGTTCAAAGTCAAATATTTCTGGCTACTTCTACTATGCCAACTGTCCACAACATTATATAGCTACCAATTAAGCTCCAACACCCCCAATTTACCATACCCATTATTTGGAGCCTTTGTGTTGTACTGTACGGTACTCTATGCTATAACCCCTCTTTTTGCTGAGCTGTGGGAAGACATAATTCGAAATGCATTGGCCACAGCTCTTTTCTTGCTGAAGTTCCGAACTTCTGATTCAGAGGGGATTTGCATGTCTCTTGTGTTACAGATTGCATCCCTACGGTGGTTGAAGGGGCGTGCAACATCTGGTTCAAGTCTAGAGTTTCAAAAATTGTTGACTGTGGCAGGTAGGCAGCGGAAGTGTATATAGTGGTAACTGTATGCACAGTGTGTAGCACAGTGTGTATGGAAGTATAAATTATAGCATACAACAATGAGCAGTGAGAATGATAGATGCTGAGTTCACAGTATATTGTGTGTGTGTGTGTGTGTGTGGATGGGTTAAGAAGAGAAAGGAGGGGGAGAGTTGTGGGGAACGAGGTGTAGTGGACAGAGACCTGACTTGTCGGCGTCATCAAAGCACCGGGCCACCAGACATACACTCAGGCTATGCATGGAGTTACAAACCGCAGTGTGCTTCCACATATTATTTGGTACATGTGCCCACTACCTATCCTCAAACCTAACAGCTAGCAAATTAACCCTGTCTTGTTTGTCCGTCATCTATCTAATGCACCAGTCATCAAGTGAGCTCCTCAGCAGATCATCGTGTAGGTCACAGGTTTCGGTCCCTTTAATCTCCCGACCTGCGCCTCACTACCACTGGGGCGGGACCACTCCCACATAATGGAGTCTGGTATCCGCAGTCCTGTCGGTTTTGTCTTGCTTACCTATTAGTTTGTCATGCTATAGTTCAGTTTGTCCGTTTTTCTAAGTCCTGTTTTAGGTTGTGAAGGTAGAAGAAGTTAGTATGCATGCACAGGAAGTTTACCTACACTGATACTGCCTTGTTGTGACAAGATTAGACAAGATACAAAATTATGTATACCTGCCTTGGGTCCCACCTGCATGCTGGCATCTTCTTACAACCGCACGGAGTATATACCAATAATTGTGTGGGCGGCTGAGCATGGTGTGGTTTTTACTACAATTACGGGGATAGCAAAGGGGGATTTTTTACTGTTGCGTGTGTGTTAGCATGGGTGGGTGCATGTGTGTAAGAGTGAACCTCAGTGTGGGTAGTATGTGAGCTATAGCTATATAGTACATAACCAGCATTGGCCCGAATATACAGTCAGAGTAAGTTGTAGTATTGAGTGCCATGTACGTATGTCAATAATTATGCAGACCCCTCTCTTCCTTCTCTTTCCGACAGAAAGCAACGTGACCCAGGCTGCGAGGCAGAAGAGGCCAGGTGTAGGATCGGATAAAGGTACTGGTGGAAGAGATGGAGAGATCAAAGAGGGAGGTGGACCGGGCCAAGGAGGAGCTGGACACAGAGGCCAGGAAGAGAGAGATGGAGATGGAGAAGTTCCCACAGCGTTGTCAGGAGAGTGTGGTGGAGAGGAGGGCATATATTGCAAAGTAGGGCAGGACATGCCTCCTGGATTTTGAACTGAGTAGTGTAGGCTAGTATATAGCTATATAGCTATTAGTGAGAGTGTATAATATAGTAGAACATGTTACTATGCGACAAAAACCTTTTAAAGATGGTATATATAATACTGCTGAGAAAGAAGAGGTTGAGGGTAGCTCGTCTTGTTGGATTGCAGCTGGAGTTACCTCCATTCTCCAGGTAGTGTAGGCTAGTTTACATAATAAATAACATGACGCTTTAAATTAACCGAGGCACCATGTCCACTTGGCATGAAACCAGTCTCAGAAAAAAATTATCATTGAAAAACAAACACACACACACAGTCAGTGGTCTATGTGCGAGGAGACACTCTGCTCCACCAGGTAGGAGAGGCTGCGGCCATCCAGTGGAGCTCGGGGACCTGGATGGTGGAGTATGTACGGTCGCTGTTTCATCCCCTCCACTCTGGGATTTGCCCTCTCTGAGACCGTACTCTGCACGCAGGACCTGTACCTCCTGTACAGGACACTCAGGATCTATACCATGGCTCTTCTACAAGAGATGTGGTACAACGGAAACTTCTAGTCCATCACTATTGCTATAATTATAGAGTCGAGAGTATTTATTATGCACACATGGCCCGATGTTATTACTTGAAGGTATAGTAGAATGTCATGTCAGCCATCGCGTTTATAATTGACATTTCTATTATGTATGCAGGAAGAATAATGACAAAAGGATTGATTCAGGAAACGCTTGGGATGAGCTGATGGTTATTAACACAAATTATCCCACAGTTCAACTTATGTTTGTTGTTTGTGTAATACCATATAGGAACAGATGCGTGAAAGTGACCAAGAACAAGATGAGCCTGCTGCTTTTAATGTGAGTTTCCCTTAGCAGAGAGTACATCGAAGTGCGATAGCTAGCAAAATATCCCAAGGATTGTGTTTCTTTCCTCCATGCTTACATAGGGCTACACATTCCACACTATACACAAGTGAACCACATCAAACTCATATTACCTGTTCTTTGAATCAATGGGTGCTTGCCCATCAAGGGTCTAGCAGTGAATTATCAGTAAAAGGCAATCCTTGTCATAGTGTATTGCATTTGCCAAACATGTGCATGCTTCATAATAGGGCTGACATGTATGAAGCATTAGTCCATCTGGTGGGTAAGAGTGGTGGGCTTACACACATCCTACTGGTGAAGCCCACTCAATGCATTGTAGTTCCAATTAATATTATTCCTATCCCATTGCAGTTCAAAGTAACCAAATATTTCTGGCTACTTCTACTATGCCAACTGTACACAGCTACCAATTAAGCAATGCTTATGAAGGGGAAGGGTGGGGAGAAAGAGTGACAAGCATTGCTTCACTCATGCATCAAGTTGTGTATAAAGCCTGGCTAAAATTATAGTGGTTGGCCAATAGAATGACTGTGTCAGTTCTTAGTTTCAGGGGCTGAGGGGAAGTAGGAAAGTATGCAGTCGTTTTCCTCAAATGCATAAGAAGCACAGGAAGATCAAGTATGGTAAGCTGAAGGGTCCAGTGACATACTTTAGCCCTTGCTTTAGCGCTAGCGCGGGCAAACCAGCCAAGGGAGGCAGAACTAGCAGTGAATTATCAGTATAATAAAAGGCCATCCTTGTCACATTTGCCAAACAGGTGTATGCTTCATAATAGGGCTGAAGCATTAGTCCATCTGGTGGGTAAGAGTGGTGGGATTGCACACATCTTACTGGTGAAGCCCACCCAATGCATTGTAGTTCAAAGGAACCAATAATTATTATTCCTATCCCATAGCAGTTCAAATATTTCTGGCTAATTCTACTATGCCAACTGTACACAACATTATAATATAGCTACCAATTAAGCAATGCATATGAAGGGGAAGGGTGGGGAGAAAGAGTGACAAGTATTGCTTCACTCATGTGCATCAAGTTGTGTATAAAGCCTGGCTACTGTTGGCCAATCAATATTATTAGAATGACTGTGTCAGTTCCTAGTTGTCAAGTAAGGTAAGCTGAAGGGTCCAGTGACATATGTACTTTAGCCCTTGCTTTAGCGCTAGCGCGGGCAAGCCAGCCCAGAGAGGCAGAACTACAATCGGAAATCGTACCTATGTCCCGTCCTATAACCGTGCCTGCGTCCGTACGGTCTTCGCGCCGGCGTCCGTACGGACTTCGTCCTTATCGTGGCAGAGTCCGTACTGCGTTAAAATCGCGGGTTCTGGGACGGACAGTCCGCGTAATAACTGTCTCACCGCGGAATCCGTATCCGCGTAAACGGGCACCGTTTCCCGTATGAACGGGAATAATTATACCGCGATAAGGGCTAGTTTTCCTGTGATTGTTGTAGGAAGCACAGTACAGAGGGTTTTTACTGTGAATCTCAAGCGGGATGAGTTTTGTTCGGCTTGTTAGTTACGCGAGATTCCTATCCTTAGGGGCGCGCCTTGGGACCCGCAGCGGAGCACAGATCTCCGTCGCTGAAGGTGGCAGGCGAATGACAGCGGAGTGGGGCGGTGGTGGGAGTTCTTCGCCGAGCAAGTACCACTCGGTGTGGCTCCGGCGAAACTGCCAGTGCCAGCAGTGCCTCAATCCGCAGAACCAGAGCATAGTGCTTTCCCACGAGCTTGATCCGACAGTGACCCTCTCTGAGGCCACCATTTCAACTGGTGATGTATATATGATGCTGGTAGTTTTAGCGTAAAATGTATAGACAGGCGTACAACGTCAGTGATACAGATGACATCTCTTAATATAAACTCAGATGGGAGTAACTTGGAGATGAAGTGGTCATGTGGCCACCAAGGCTTCCTCAATCTGGACTGGCTACGAAAACACAGCTACTCTTCCAAGGTCCTTGAAGAGGGCAGGAAGAAGATTTCTCCACTGTTTGCGACACAGGTTGGCACTATACCTTGATTGCATTCTGAAAGGTCATCACAAAACCCAACTCTACCACAGATGCCACAAATGGACTACAAAGAACTAGAGGATGACTATGGAGTTTGGAAGTAAGACACACGGTTCTGTTAGCGGTCTGTTAGTGCTTTATGAACGAAAGAGCCAAAATATTCAGAATTGACAAGCTATTTTTGTAGGTGGTTGAAGAATGTTAATGAATATGGAGTATGCCTTTTGCATGGAGTACCATGCACTAAAGAAGACGGTTTGGAAGTAAGCCAATAAGCATTACTGGGGATATGCTCTATAAAGCAAAAATCTGCAGGTGAGCAAAAAGATTTGCCCCTATTTGCAGGAAACATTTTATGGAGGGGTAAGTGCGGCATTTCTCCCCTCTGTATAGCTATATGAGTGTGTGTGATCAGTTAACAGAGCTGAAAGTGGAGGACAGTGCAATTTCCGTCTCGTATGGACACGGCGCCTTGGAACCGCACCAGGACATGCCGGAGTACGAATCATACACAGGGATCACACTGATTCATTGTCTAAGGTTTGTAGCGTAACATCGGAGTTATACAGAGTACATACATGAGAGGGTAGCCTCATTAACTAGACCCTCGTCAATAATTATTAACCCTCGTGTGTGTGTTTGTGTATAGAAGAAAAGAAAGGAGAGTGCTAGGGATTGAGTGGCTTTTGTCCGCGGCACACAAGTACGTGGGGCTTTTGAATGCCACTGCCCGATCTCCCGCCCGACCATAGCAGCTAGCGGCCCTTCCACGTTAAGTGTCTGGTTGTTGTATAGTCTTGTCATCAGGGGAGCTCCTCAGCAGATCATCGTGTATAGGTCACAGGTTTCGGTCCCTTTAATCTCCCGACCTGTGCCTCACTACCACTGAGGCGGGACCACTCCCTCGTAACGGAGTCTGGTAGTAACTAGTATCGCTGTAGTATTGAACGCGCATGTGCAAAAAACTTAGGTAGTTTACCTAGTAGCTATTGGCTGCTGAAATAAAGAATAAAGTGGTGAGGCCTGGTTATGCACTTTCAAGTGCTTTTCATTGCTTGTGTATTTGCTGGGTCCATCATTGCATAGCAAAATGACAGTTGTTCCTCTCGACTTTGTAGCAAAATATCCTTACCAATGTACAACACTACTAGATGTGTAGTGAATACGTCCAGCGCTGATAGCCGCCGCAGTTTTCCGTTGTCTCGTCCGAGGTGTCTCACTGGGTTCACGAAAATCTCATGCCAAACTCAGTCTCTTCTTACACTCACACTGTAGTCAGGGCACCACTCGCTAGGTAATGGTGTGATACTACACAGAACGTAGACCACAGTCATAGATGCAGTCAAGGAAGTAGTGGTAAGGGCTATTGTACAGTTACAGACATAGAGTTCAGAGGTACGTATATAGAGACAGAGACTAAAGGTGTCACAGATGCAAATTTGCACGTTGCAGTGGAATCCCCTCTCTAAGGACACACCTGATGTGTGGCACCTCTCTTTAATGAGGACACCTTTTCTTCTCCCAAAAACAGTCCACTATCAGGGGCATAGGAAGCTCTAATTTCAGTCTGCTTTGCTAATACGTTTGTATAATTATGGAGTACATCATCTTGATACAAATGAGAACTAAAATGTGCCAAAAATGAGACGATGTTTCCGTGTTACAAAATGTTCCATCAATAGCTAAGTGTGTTCAGCCACGCCCGCCCTCTCAAACGTGGCCAGCTCTGCGCGTGCATATAACCCAAGCACGCGCGCACGCGCGCACACGCGTTTCATAGCGGCCTATACACTCGAAAGAGGTATGGCCACAGCCGTAGTGGGCGCTACGCTTTCTACGCCCCTCAGTCTATATAAAAGAAACTTCACTATTTTCCTCACCCCCTGTTGTCTGATTCCACTCTACTACAGAGGACACAATGAGGCCAACACTTTTGTCCCTTGCAGAGAGGTTGTCCCTAACTTTGAGCCTGGGGTTGTTAGGGAGGAAGCGCTCTAGCTTTGCAACGGAGCAGTTTCAGAGAAATCCGTTAAAAATGTCTGACCTTCATTGCCCGTTAAGTAGGTGGTATCCTTCGTGAGCTGAACGAACACTCGAGAAGTGAGATGGAGAGTAACACACACACACAAAATACAGTAACCATCGCTGCGCATGCGTGCCGAGGGTTAATGACAACAAGCAGCCTTGCGTATGATTGCCTCAGCAACAACAAAAGCACACTAGAAGCTGGAGTGTGTTTGAGGCAATTACAGCAAGCCGCCGCATGTGCCAGACTTTTTCCATTGTTGTGCCCACCACTGCCCACCACTCCCTTGGTTCTTATCTACATGCTTTACCCCCCAATAATTGGTCTAATTAGGTGCCTTTGAGATATTCCTGGACATAATGCATAGGTTAAAGGATCTGTCTTTGGATGTGCTACCAGAAATCCAAGGCAATTTCCTACAAAGCCAACGTCACAAATTTCTTCAACCGTGAACTGGCTACAAGAAACTGCATGTATGTATGTCAGAGGGATACGTACATGCTGAGTATCTGGGAGTTAAGGATAGATTATATGGAATAACTCTAGCATTGAACTATCACCACCTGAGAGTGCACCGGAGACCTGCAAAGGGTCGCCACGGGGTTTAATAAGTTTGGGCGTCTGTGTGGCAGGCAGGCACTTACAGTATCACTATAATTATAGTACCTAGTAAATGAAAAGCACTAAAGTGCAAACCCTCGGCGAACTGCGCATGCGCGGTACCGTTAATGGGCTATTGGCGTTTACTCGCGGTCTCCCGCTATATAGTAGCTTGCGGGGCGAGTCTGACACTGGCTAGCTACAGTAGTAGATAGCATGCGGGAGTCGATACACACCTTTCGCTGTGGCTTATTGTGCCTCCAAGGTATATACACAGAGCAAGCGGTTCAGGCAGCCAGTTGATCGCAAGCATGCGCACCGCTTATTGATGGGTTGGGCTACGCAACGCTGTCCGCGACCGTGTCAGTTGCAAAATCGCCATTTTGTTTTTCTAGCCCATGTACCGCTAAAGCTGTTGGTATCGCTCATAAGCTGCCTCTCGTAGCCTGTAGTGCGAGAATAGTCGTATATACAGACAAACCACTACCGTAACCCTCGCTGCGCATGCGCGCCGAGGGTTAGGTGCAAACCCTCGGCGAACTGCGCATGCGCTGTACCACTAATCGCTGGGCTGGGCTAGCTATTGGCGTTACTTGCGGTCTCCCGCTAGTAGCTTCTGACACTGGTTAGCTACAGTACATGCGGGAGTCGATACACACCCTTCGTTGCTTCTTGTGCTCCGATGTACACAGAGCAAACGGATCAGGTCGAGGTGAGCCAGTCTAATACACGCATGCGCACCGCTTATTGATGGGTTGGGTTGGGCCACGCAACGCTGTCCGCGACCGTGCCAGTTTGTCCTCTCGAACGCAGTCGTTTCAGCAAAATCGCCATCCGGACCCCCCGTAACCCTCGCTGCGCATGCGCGCCGAGGGTCAACAAAACAGTTGTTAGACTTTGACACCCAGAAGCCCTGAATTCACCATCTCGAACTATGCAGGAATGACAGGTGCGTGGCAGAAGGGGAGAGTGTCATAGTTGATGGTCTGGCTGTTGTGGAGAAACTGAGAAAAACTCATCCTCACTACTTTGACACTCTTGTCAGAGTCCCCGCCACCTTTCATCGCATCAACCACACATGGTTTGGACACCATTGCTAGCTATGTACATCCACATCCGTGACTGGCTATTATTTTTAGGCGCACATGCAGTTGTGCGTCTCCCTAATGCACGTGAACTATGTGTGTGGGAGTAACTAATTAATTTTGTTGCTGTTTCCTGTCCATTTCCCAGGGACCGTCCAATACACATGGTCTATAAGACGCCACACATCCACCTGAATGGCCATGGACAAGTGAGTAGGTTATGTACAGTTTTGGTATCCAATAGACTTTGTTGTTTGTTATTAACCCTCGGCGTGCATGCTCAGAGAGTAGTTGTCTTGCGTTTTGTCTGTTGGCACCCAAACTCCCTTCGTGCGCCATGAATCGCTCCACAAACAATACCACGTATTCAGCGTCGGGTATGTAGGTCGAAAATGGTGTTGGATTTCTCTGAACCTGCTGCGTTCGAGAGTTACAGTGTGAAAACCGAGTGAATGGAGTAAGCACGTGTGAGCCTGTGCTAATTTGCATGGCTTACCTCGAGATGTGCTTGCTCTGGAAGCACCAGAAGTTGCAATGCAGGGTGTGTATCGACTCTCGCATGTTATCTAGTAATGTAGCTACCCTGTTACTGACTCTCAGCGACCTGCGCGTTTCGTACCTGGCACAATCTGTTCGCGCATGCGCAAGATATTTTAATCCCGTACCAAGCCTATTGTTGAGCTAAAAGATGGCAGATGCACAGCGAAAGATGTGCCTTTCACACAAGACTCTGTATATAGGCGGTCTTCCTCAAGTTTGCTTTGACATGGAATCCTTCTCTTGCGAGCACGCGTGTCTCCACCGAGGGTTTGCAGTTTAGTGCTTTTCATCTTGAGTGAGACCAACTACTGATGATGTTACTTCTTGGTAAATGTTACCATAGCAACAACGCATTATATTTCAGAAGGCTCCGTCTCACATATAAATGTGTTTGGCCCAGTTTTCTAACTCAGACAGCTACTTTGTAGGTAAATTTTGATGATCCCATAATCTGATCATCACCTTAGTGTTAATCAAGGGTGCTAATTGTGTACGTGCCTATATAAGTCATGCAACCTGCCGGTGTCTGCCGGTTTTTTCCGCCCGAAAAAAAGCGGGCTCGCGTTCGTATAAATAGGCTCTGCATCTCTGGCTCATCGGCCTTTTTTATAGCGAGCGATCAAAGTCAATTCTTATGACCCATTAGGGTTTCGGCCCTGCATATCAATGTGACACTCTGTCTCGGGAGGGTTGGGTGGGACATTGATATGCTCGACGTCACCTTCTTCATATAATCCAGAATGGCTGGCAACCACTATGCCATTCTGTAATTAATAGGCTAGCACCTCGATATCGCTTCCAGCTTTACATGTACTCCACTAGGTTTTATCATAGCAGGCATGCTCTATTAAATGCACACTCTTATAAAGATGAATCATAGACATGAACTTATAATGACAGGTGATCATGATGAGATGGTCTACACATCATGATGGTCCACTGCAAGTCAACGAGGTATCCCAATTAATGTTACTATACAGAAATGAAAAGTCAGTATATAGACAGTCTGAGTTTCCACAAATATTAACTATTTGCTGAAGCACATGTGGCACTTGAGAGCAGCAAAGGAGCACACAACTATATGCATCTCCTCTTGTTACTTTCCAAAAACATAAACAAAGCTATGTGGAAGTTATTTCAGGCTGGACGGGTGATATGATCATTGAATGTGTGTTTCGATACACTACTGTATACTAGTGTGTTCCTTTGCTGACCTTTGGGTGGCTCATTGTGCTTCTGTTATAATTATTATATTGGCTTATCTCAGTAGAAAGGGACTATTGGTGTTGATAAATATAATGAAAAGCACTGAAGTGCAAACCCTCGGCGAACTGTGCACGCACGGTACCACTAATTGATGGGCTGGGCTTTTATATAGTATGTGTTTACTCGTGGTATCGACGCTAGTAGCTCGCGGAGAGTCTGACACGGACTAGCTACAGTAGCAGATAGCATGCGGGAGTCGATACACGCCCTTCGTTGTGACTTCTTATGCCTTCAAGATACACAGAGCAAGCGGCCCGGTCGAGGTTAAAGCCTGTTCAAACTATAAGCGCATGCGCATTTTCTGCAGCGATAAAAATGGCCGACTACGCATTAGCCGTACAATGGTGGAAGAGCTCTAGCTTTGCAACAGAGCGTTTTCAGAGAAAACCGTTCGAAATTTCTGACCATCATTGCCCGTTCAGTAGGTGGTATCTTTTGTGAGACGAACGAACACTCGAGAAGTCAGATGAAGAGTAACAGACAGACAGACAGACGGACCCAACTACCGTAACCCTCGCTGCGCATTCGCGCCGAGGATTAATTATACACCGGAAGTCACACACTATTTTTAGTGATAACTGAATGCCTCATATACTTGACATTTGCAGAACCTAATAGGCTGCCATGACTCCTTCTGGCTCATGTTTATCCAGCTATGTGGTGCATGCGTGAAATAGCATACTGTGCGCTGTTATACCCAATATTTTGTGTGGAGCCTGGAAAAATTAACAGGGGCTAGCCCCCTGAACCCCTGGGTTCCCAGATAGGCTCTAACAGAAGCTAGCGAAAACTTGGAAACTGATACATTGAGAAGTAGAGAAGGAGTGAAGACTTAAGGAGTGAAGTTTTAACCTTACAGTAGTGACACTTACTACTCATACCTTCCTTTGCCTATAACGGACACTTATCATTAGGTCAGGATCATGAAAATGTGATCGTACACCCTTAATAGCTGATTCATTCACACCTTGTTGTCTGTATCTCACTGCTAATAAATGCTCACCATGCTCCTAAGGGGCGCCGATGATTTTATTGGGAAGCCTGTGACTCTGCCACTACTGCGGCGCAGACCACGAAAGCTACACTGGCGTAGTCAGCAGGATGGCCGAACGCCCACTCGTGATTCCTGAAGGTTTCTCGGGCGAAGGCCCCTTCGACGCCTTGGCCACTCACTTCGAGAACGTCGCCACTCTGAATGGCTGGACCGCCGACCAACGACTGCAGTGATCCGTGTACAAAACGCCTCTAAACTCGGCGATAATGACTCACCATGGCTTCAAAATCACTAGAAATAGTCTAGAGGCCAATACCTAGCTATACATATGCCCAAGACTTCCTATGTGCCCTCAGTTCCCCACGAATAAATTCGCTCTTATGCGATTTTGCGATTTTTGTGTCATCATAATCATATTCTTCATCTTCTTCTTCTTCAAACCCGCTAGCTCCTTACCGGAAGCAGTTGAAGCGTTGTTGTTTTTTCACAGAATGTCTCCCAATTTGCCGGAGGTGTGCACGCATATCAAGCGATCGTTTGTTTCTTACCACAAGTCACTACGGTAGATCGTTGAGCTCTTCCTTGGTAGTCACTGAACAACGCCATTTGCTGCCAACTCAGCATCAGTGAGCCGCATGCGCCGAGGAGGGCGTTTCCAATGCGGTGCGCGCGCATTACTCGTAAACCAGGTTCACGAGACTAAGCCAGGATGCCTGCAGAGGTAGTCTCATCCTCCAGTGCCCTTCTGTATGTCAGTATACACATTTCTAACTGGCTAGCTTGCGTTTTGCTGTTGATATGCACAAGGAGCAACTTGGGATGGTGTCATGTAGCTTTGTGCATCTTTGCTGTGTAATGACTCCTTATTTCCCAATTTTTGGTGCTTCAAGCCATCCCTATATATCCCTCTTCATTTTGAAGAAATTATTTTTCCACTTGTTGTAATTTTTCCCCACACAGGAAGATGTTGAGCCTTATTATGAAGCCTATGCATACTTGGCAAAGGCAATAATGTATGACAAGGAGTGCCAGGTACTGTATGCTTTTTCTTTTGATGATGTGTGCAGATATTAATGAAAAGCACTAAAGTGCAAACCCTCGGCGCTAAATGCACGAGTTGTAGCATCGCTGTATGCTGGGCCGTGCGTCATCGACTGAGCCTGTAACACGAGTCTCGCCTTAACACAGGGTAGATAGTTGCATTGCAATGGCTCAGGTGTTTCAGAGGCTCATTAGCTTTATTCGCTCTTCTGTGTTTCAATGCTCTCACCAGACGTTTTATAGATGGGAAGACAAGGCCACAGCCACAAACTGCTCGCCAACTGAACTATTATGCTACATTGCGAACATACCTTGCTCGGCATATTTATCCATTGAAAACAAAGAGAACAGAGATCAAAAACTGACAGAAGCCCGTGGATCTTATATACAATCAACGTGGCGTAGCGCAGGCTCCGGCGAATAATTGACATGACGCGTGCTCGCTATATAGCCTGCCGGAGAGGGCGCGTGCGCGATCGATCGCACGTTGCCTTTTTCGCTTGTTTTCAAGCCATATCTCTGGAACACAGTCGTTTCAGGAAAATCGCCACGTTTTATCCACCCTCTTGTTGTTCACAATCCGTTGGTGCCACTCATTGGCCGCCTCGTAGCCTGTAGTGCGAGAACTCGCGCAGACAGACAGACAAACAGATCAAGTACCATAACCCTCGCTGCAAATGCGCGCCGAGGGTTAATTAGTGTGTGAATCACAAAGCGTAAACACAAGATGAAACTTTCAACACAGGACAACACTTGTCACAATGGCAAACTGCGGTACCGCTAATTGATGGGCTGGGCTTTTAGTTGCGTTTTTACTCATGGTCTCCCGCTAGTAGCTCGCGGAGAGTCTGACACGGGCTAGCTACAGTAGTAGAGAGCATGCGGGAGTCGATACACGCCCTTCGTTGCGGCTTCTTGTGCCAGTAAGCGGATCAGGTCGAGGTAAGCTAGTGGTAATTTGTATATTGGCTTGTTCACTTGGTCGAGGGTAATTAGCATTCACTTGCTCACCTGCGTGACAAACAGGTAAAATAGCGGCACCAACGTGTTCTGCGCTACACTGACTTCATTTTAAAATGGCGATTTTTGTGAAAGTGCCGCGTTTAGAAGAAGGTTACCCCGCTTGCTCTGTGTACCTTGTAGGCACAAGAAGTCACAACGAAGGGCGTGTATCAACTCCCGCATGCTATCTACTACTGTGGATAGCCCGTGTCCGACTCTCCGCGAGCTACTCTAGCGGGAGAAACGCATACTACAAATAGCCCAGCCCATCAATTAGCTGTACCGTGCATGCGCAGTTCGCCGAGGGTTTGCATTTTAATTCCTGTAGGTAGGTATTGCATGCATGAGTTGCATTCTATATACACTAAGACATGTTAGAAATGTTTATTCTCAGTGAATATTTGCTCACCTGTCGAATGTAGCTAACTACAGAGGAAAATTCGATGACGGGCCCTCCAATATAGGGACGACCTCTCTAAAGGGACACTTGTTTTAACCCCATGTTAATGACCTGAGAGACAGGGATGGCCTCTCTACAAGGGACAAAATTGTTGGCCCCATATGTAGTGTCCCTTGTTCGGAGGTTCCAACTGTGCAGTGGAACCTCCGGTCAGGGACCCTCCGAGATTGGGACAACCACTTTACAAAGGACACTTGTTTCAACCCCATGCTAATACTTTAGTGTATTATTTACACTCCGAGATAGGAACGACCTCTCTGCATGGGACAAAATCGTTGGCCCCATAGTGTCCCTTGTTTGGAGGTTCCACTGTATACCCTCTCTTTTATAACATGCACACATCATCATAGTTCCATCACCGACTGGAACCAGGGGACATGTTCACACTCAACAACCACAGGATGCTTCATGGAAGAATGAAGATCCAGCTCAATGGGGGAACTAGACACCTCGCCGTATGTACAATAATTGCAACTGTTTTCGAAATGAAGGTGCATGCACAAGGAGGACCCCTCTGAACAGTTGCCTGCTAATGGACCTTAGTTATCTGGGCAGCTTGGTACAAAGGGCCCTGTATATAAATGTGAAACTGTCTACCTGAAATTTCTACAAGAATACCTAGGGTTTGATTTGTTTTTTAGATAATTGCAGGCAGTATGGTTGCGTTTATGCCCACCCATCAATGTCCTCAGTGAATGAACATGTAATCCATTCAGGCACCTCTGGGCTTATTATGCATTACAGGTTGGCGGGTAGGAACTATATACCTGGTTTACTGAAGTAATCCGAATAATTGAGATTCACTGCATTTCTTATGCCTGAGTAGATAATTTGTAGGCACTGTGATTG